AACCCGGGATATGGGGGCCCAGGGCGCGGCCGTGAGCGCAGGGCCGGTGGCCGAATAACCCCGCGTGGACGCTGGGGCTCCCGGGGAACCCTTACCCCACGGGGGTCGGGAGCGTGCGGATCCCGCAGGCTTGCGCAGAGCCAGTGTGCCGCACCGCATCCTGCTCGGCCCCCCCGAGAGTGTGCGAGCCCCCAAGATACCGCTTAGACACGTTACTGAATTTGGCCGTCGGCGAGCAGGGTTGTTGTGCTAAATCCTGGGCTGCAGGACAAAGGGGCTTTCATCTCCCCTCTTTCCCCCCCCTCCCCCAGTACCAAGCCCCCGCTGCATGTGGCCGGATTGGGGTGGTTACCCAGGCTGTCTGCACGCTAATTGTCCATCTGTCTTGCAGAATAACGATTTTCTCAGGAATACGGTGCATCGCCATGAGCCGCCAGTCACAGCCCAGCCTATCCAGATCTTGGTGGAGGACGACGAGGTGGTGGTCGTGGACAAACCCTCCTCTTTGCCAGTACACCCCTGCGGCAGGTTTCGTCACAACACGGTCATCTTCATCCTGGGCAAAGAGCACGATCTGAAGGAGCTGCATACCATTCACCGACTCGACCGCATGACCTCGGGAGTCCTTATGTTTGCCAAGACCGCAGAGGTGTCCAAGAGGATCGATGAGCAGGTTCGGGAGAGGCAGGTGAGAGCTAAGGGCTGCAATAATTTGTAGAGTCTCTTGCACAGTGTTCTCTTGAAACAGGTCCAGAGCCAGCCAAATTTTCTAAAGTCTAAACAAGTTCGAGTTCCCAAAACAGCTTGTGGCCACCTTGCTGTGATTGTATTGAGCATGGGAGGCATCAAGAGAAAAAGACTGTCTAAAAATGTAATTGATTTTGATAATGCTAGATTGAAAGGGATCCCCTTCCCTAGGGGATTGTGCAAAATGGAGAGCAGTTTTATTTGTAAGTGGAAACGTGTCAGCCATCTAATACTTCTTCAGTTTTGAAAGTTTTAGAAGTTTTTATCATTTTTCAGGTGGCTCTTGACCCAAACGGAGCTGTTGCTGTAGGGTACTGCCTTCCAGGATTTGCTTCAAGGCTGAAGGTCACTGAGAGTTCTTGAATTTAATATGAGGAAAATAGGCCAGGCCCTTGCGTTCTTGATTTCCCAACTAGTTGGGGAAGGTGTGAGAGAAATCTGACTTTAAATAGCTGATTCCACCCCCCCCGCCCTCTCCCCCCTGTTCAGTTGTAATAAAATTTTGGCAGTATGTTGCCCACAAATGTATTTCATTGAAGAGAAGGAGAGGAGTAGCTAGGATGGGACTCAGGTGCGATCAGGACAGAGACAGTTTTCTGTTCTCTGAGAGTTACTCTTGTGTCTCCCCGTAGCTGGAAAAGGAGTACGTCTGTCGCGTGGTGGGGGAGTTTCCAGAACACGAAGTGGTCTGTGAAGAGCCCATACTGGTTGTTTCTTACAAAGTGGGAGTGTGCCGTGTGGACCCCAAAGGGAAATTCTGCAAAACCATCTTCCAGAGACTCAGTTACAACGGCAAGACCAGCGTAGTCAAGTGTCTTCCGCGTACTGGCCGCATGCACCAGATCCGGGTCCATTTGCAGTATTTGGGGCATCCCATTGTCAACGACCCCATCTATAATATGGACGCCTGGGGTCCCGACAGGGGGAAAGCTGGCAAGATCGATAAAACGGATGAAGAACTCCTTAAAGCGCTGGTAGAGGAGCATTGTTCCAAACAGAGCCTGGATATCTTGGGTATTTCGGAGGAGGACTTGAACTCCAGTGCTGGAGATAAAGACTGTGGTAATTCAAGCGACTGCACAAAGTCTGCGCTGGCTGATCCTATAAAGGAGAACTCTTGCCCTGCTGAGGACACCGAGGATCCCGAGAGAGACACTAAGGATCCTGAGAGAAATGACATAGCAGCTTGTCTGCTGAACTCTGGTAGCAACCTGGAAATGCTTGAAAAAAAACCCGAACTTGGTTCGTGTGAGAATCAGGATGGGCAAACCGGAGAAAAGAGTTCAGAAGAGAAGGACCCTTTATGCGTGGAGTGTAAAATTACGAGGCGGGACCCATCTCCTCAGGAGCTGGTGATGTACCTACATGCCTTGCGCTACAAGGGAGCGGAGTTTGAGTATTGCTCCAAGATGCCTGAGTGGGCAATGGAAGACTGGGAGGAATGACCGAGGACACCTGACACCTACGGACGTTGTGGGCCAGGAAAGTGTCTTGTAAAAACCTAACGTTGCCGTGTTGAGCGTGGTTGAGGTGAACAAACTGCCTGTGACTGGAGAGGGGCTGGGAAGGATTGCTGGGGCTGGAGGACCGTCCTGGCTGCCGACAGGCACTGTGGGAGACGAGCAGGAAGATGGGGCTACGTCACTGGGTTTACGTTGCCCTTCAGGGAACTAGCGCTTCGGGGCCACAATTGTCACTCGGCACAGGCAGCTTTGCCTTTCACCTCAGCCCCTTCTGGGCCTGCTGTCAATTATCCACACAGATAATTAAGTGTACACACTTAAAAGTCAGCAGCTGATCTATCTTCTGGCCTGCTATCTTCATATCTTACAGTAATGCTGGAATGTCGTTTAATATGCTGGATGTCATGTTGTACACAAAACTCTTTTTACTGTATTTTATTGTCAGGCTGGTTTTAAAACTCAAAACGTTATCACCGAGAATGCCGTACGGTAAATTCAGAGCGCTGTGAAGCCCATCCCTGTTGTGCTTACTGTTTGTCAACAAGGTAGGCTTTGCTTTGAAATGGCTCTTCCAAAATTGGTTCAGATAATGACTTAATGTAAAGTTAGTAGCTCTGGGGATGGATCTCTCTGTGTTGGGCCTGGTTTGGGAGGTGGTACTCCCCAGGTTTTGTCTTTGAGATTTAGAAGGAGGCTGATTTAGTAGGTTTTGCCAGTCTGTTCTGCTGCCTTCCCTGCGATGTACCTCCTGCCTCCTCAAAACCATCTGCCTTCTCTTCTGAGAACCTATCGATCTCGGTCCCTTAGGCCCCATTGAAGACCTCTTCATACTTGAGCAAAAATCCAAAGCAGAGGTCAGTCTGCCAACGTCTTAATTTATTTTTTCTAAACCGTACTGTAGGCAGGTTGTTTCTCATTGCTGTGGAATTGTTTTTAATATCACTTCAGTGTGACAATCAGCTTTAAAGAAAAACAAAAATTGTTTTATGAACCAGATGACTTTTTTTTTTAATACATTTTATATTAATATGTTTCCAGGATGATAAATATCACTATAGTTCTTATTTTCATCAGTGTTTCTGTGGTCACTTCTTGGCCTCTGGGAGGGTTATTATAATAATTCTGCTGTCTCAGGTTCTTTTTTATATATGTATTTTTTTCCCCCCTCTTTTTCATACATGTCACCAGTGGTAATGACCTGCTCCAGTGACTGCTGCAGGCAACCAAAACCTTTACCTGGGAGGAGCCAGGTTGGTTCAGGACTGTTTGCAGACAGTGGCTCTCGCCCTGTCGCTCCATATCCGCATTTCTCTGCACCCATTCTTACACAGGGCACACGCGTGGCGTTCTACACTTTAAAATATTAAAGAAGCCTTTAAAAAAGGTGAAGAAGGGAGTCCAGAGGGTCCGATGCCATTCAGCAAGGGTGGTACCAGCCTTGCTGGAGCGTGGTCCAGTCTGAGGTCATCTCTCCATGTCACGCTGTGCTCTGGGGAGCTTTAGCTCTTTCTCAGCTTCCCCAGGACATGGGTTCTACACAGATCTTTTGTCACCGGTTTGCCCATTTCACAGAGGTTACTGGAGAGCTCCCTGCTTCACAGGAGTCTGTGAGTAGGATGCTGGGGACCTAAGGCTGCCCAGGCCCATGGGAATGACCACAGTCCTCCGTGGCAGGGCTCCTAGAATCGCTCGTTGGTCAGGACTTGCGTACTGGACCAGAATAAACCAGTGCTTACTTCTTCCAGTAGCTCAGAGTAGCCACGAGATTTCTTTCTCTCCTGGATCATCCGTCTGATGCGTTGTTTCCATAAAAGTTCACTCAGGCCTGAGCTTTGCTCCTCCCCATCCTGCCAAGGGTCTGTCATGATTCTAACTTAACCACAGATTTGATTTTATTTTTTTTTTCCTGCCATCATGTCTTAAGGCCAGGGCTAGTACTTAGCAACAGGCAGCTTGTTAAACCAAGGGGAGAAAAGGTCCCCTGTGTTTGAGAGAAGATGCTAAAAAGTGGTGTCATCCTGATTTTTCATACACTGAAATACGTATTTGACATAACTGTGAATGAAACTTGGGTGCCTTCAGTGTGTAAGGGTGCCTCACTCAGCTGTTCCTGGCTTTAGATGCAAGGGAAAGGTAGTAGATTTAGGGGCAACAGTTTTAAATTAGACTTTGCGGTGTCCTGGATTATATTATCTGGAGATTTGGGAGTGTTTTTGTTTTTTTTTTCTCCCTAAGAAATACGCATCTGAAAGGGGTTTTACTGACTTGTGCCGGTAGATGGAGACTGGATGGCTGAAGGACCTGATGTGGAACTGGAGCTCAGTGCTGCGTGCTTACTTTTTTGGGCTCATGACTGCACTTAGCAACTTTTAATGGCCACACCTTGCTGGTCAAGGTATCGGGGCTTCTGTTTTCAAGACACTTTGAACAATGAAAATTTAAGGTTGATTTCACAAGGAGCCTACCACCCATTGCATCATGTTTCATTTTATTTCCGTTCAGAGCCGGTGTCCAGCCAATAGGTGCTGTAAACACGCACAAGAAGTCAGCATTTGCTGTTTTGCTAATTAGGGACAGTGTTACTATTAGAGATTGTGGGAACAAGTACGGAATCTGCAGGTGTGGCGGCTGAGCCAGGCACCGGAGATATCCTTGGCCTTGTTGGTCTCGAGCCATGGGATAACTGAACATAGAGCTAAGTGACCTGGACAGGCTGGAGAGTTGGGCAGAGAGGAACATGATGAAGGTCAACAAGGGCAAGTGTTGAGTGCTGCACCTGGGGAGGTCGAACCCCATGCACCAG